TTATTATCAAAATTTATATTTATATATGTAAGTTAATTTCAACGGTATGTAAACATTTTGGGAATCGTAGGGACTATGGGCGATTCCATTACTCTACTGGATCCGGTACTTCCAGTAGGGGAGGTATGAGTGGGAGTCAGTCGCATATCCCCGACAGTAACTTTCCGGATCCCACACACACATCTCCTCCTATGGGTACACAGCCCTCAGCTCCCACGGCCATGAGCATTGAGGAGTTTGTATCGCAACCCGGACGGGATAGGTTGCCTCGCCTTGATCCTGACTTGCGACCGAACACGACCTGGTAAGTTTTATTTAAAAATTTATTTGATTATATTAACGTAATAAAATATGTAACTAAATATTGTTTAGGTTTCAATTTTCGGGAAACGGGATTACGAGTTCGATCAACTCAATGACGAATTCGTTGATAACTAAAYCGTATCCCACATTTAGTTCGATGCCGGTGGCAGACCAGGAGACATGGTTTCGGCAATTTGCGGTAAGTTTTTTTTTCCCAATTAAGAATGTAGATTTTTATTTCTATTCAAATAATCTAATAATTTTAATCTTGGTACGTGTTTTTTTGCAGCAAGACTTTACCTGGGACCCCCAGCTGACTAACCAGGTCCGACGCCAGTTCCAGAAAAAGGCATCCYGAAAGTACTCGTTGAAGATAAACGAGTGGAAGGACATGTGGTACAAAGAAGGAAAGGTGCCGCGGAGAATGCAAGGTAACCCAACCTTATGGGGTGGACTACTTGCCCATTGGGAACGGGAGGAGACAAAAGTAAGCTCCGGGAAAAACTCGTCTAACCGGAACAGCGACCGGAAGGGGAAGGGACCGGCGACCCATAACCTCGGCGCAACGAGCAAAGCGACGCGTCTTGAGAAGCTGGTAATTTTATAAATTTTCCAAAATTTTWTTTWTAACACTTCTCATATTTCCTTCATTATCTATGCCAACAGATTGAGAAGACCGGTGTGCGTCCGTCACATCTTGATTTGGTCAGAGATGCGCACACCAACMGAAAGACKGGTSAAWTTCAAGATCCYATTGCTCGKGAAATCGTGGAAAGCGTGGAGARGSTCGGTGAGGAGTACCTCCAATCCCAACCGATCGTCGAAGGAACTCCCCCGGCCACGGAAGTTCCACTAGAGATGATCAACCAGTTCACCTACCAGGTTAGTAACACTGTCAAATATAAACAAATTTAAAAAAATTTTGAATACAAACAAGTTTAAACATTTATTGATTTATTCTTTATCGTAGGTTACGCCGAAGACCAAAGGTCGTGTGTTTGGCCTCCCGGAAGACAGCTCCTCCGCGTCTGTTACTTCTGCCAGCTTTCACAACGTTGGGATGTTGAGGGCACAGAACGAGGAGCTTATGGAGTGGGTGACCCTGATGGAGGCACAACGCGCGGAAGATCAAGCCTGGAAACTGGAACAGATAGCCCGCATGCAGGCAATGGAAGATAAGATGAACGCGATCCTCCGCAACCAGTCGCAATAGTTTTTATGTTCTGTAATATTTTAATTTTGTATGTCACATTTAAAAATATTATGTCACATTTAAAAATATTAAATTTAATTTTTGGTTTTTATTATTTTATTTAAATTTAATTTTTATTTAAATTTTTTTTTAATTTTAAATAATTTTTTTTTAATAACATAATATAACCGTCAGAATTCCGTCGGAAGTCCGTCGGGTTACAGGGTCGTCGGAAATCCGTCGGGTAACAGATCCGTCGGAAATCTGTCGGGTTAGAGGGTCGTCGAAAATCCGTCGGATAACAGATCCGTCGGAAATCCGTCGGGTTAGAGGGTCGTCGGAAATCCGTCGGGTAACAGATCCGTCAGAAATCCGTCGGGTTAGAGGGTCGTCGGAAATCCGTCGGGTAACAGAGCCGTCGGAAATCCGTCGGGTTAGAGGGTCGTCAGAAATCCGTCGGGTTACAGGATCGTCGGAAATCCGTCGGGAGTTATTCCGACGGATTTAGGTGATCCCTTTTCCGTCGGAAATCCGTTAGTATTTCCGACGGATTTCCGACGGAATTTTTATTTCCGACGAGATAGAACCGACGGACAAGAACCGTCGGACAGCCGTCGGAAGAGTGCTATTTCCGACGGATTTCCGACGGATTTGGCCGTCGGAAACGGCGCTGTTTTCTTGTAGTGT